TGTGATGTATTTAGTGAAAATTCATTATATCACTCGCTTTTTTTATATGATAGGATGACAAATGAGCACACAGCCCACCTGATGGTAAGTGTTTGCTGTGGCCCATAGACATCTACATCTATCCTTGATTACGAATCATAATGCAGATGCGTTGTCATATGTGAGGACTTAGGTGGAATGCCTCGTTTCCAGTAATAAATAATTTCATTTGTATTTATTATGTGTGCTTAAATTCAACTCTGTCTCCTGGTGTGACCGTTTCTCGGGTCGGCAACCTTTAATTACCCCCTATTCTGCACTGCAACAGTGCAATGCTCCGATAAAATTTCAGCAAAATAAGCTTTATTTGATCCTGAATGCGCCAGCTTCCTACACTTGTCTAAATATGGGTGGACAATAGTTTTAAACGATTTTGCTTGGAGGCAACTATTACCAATTGTTACAAACGAAAGGTACATTTAAAATTTAAATTTAGATTGCCTCGTTTTGAACCGTTGTAAACGTATACCGGATAAGCGCCTAAACGAAGCCCGTTACCGCGATCCCTATCGAGTGACCACGTTGAATCACTTTTGCATGTCCGCTACTGCAGCCGAAACCTTTTGTGGTATGTTTTTGTAAAAAGAGAGCAGTAAATTGATAGCGTCGATCAAATCGATTTATTCCGATGAATCATACTCAGTTCCCCGTAACGTATATTAGGTTGTGGTGATTGGGTTTATAACCGACTTCAGAATTGAAGTTTTGAAATCGGTTGTATTTTTTATTTAATGTTTATAACACGGTATCTCCAAGGTCAGCTATCTTATTTAACTGACGTTTTATTTAACGACTGAATCTCCTTTCATAGCGGTCTCATATAAATTTCAATCATATCCAATGACCATTTAAGTGGGTGTATATTTTTTAATAATCCAATTATTATTAGTTTTACATAGACCGAAATTGTATTTGTAGGGAAAGAAGTTTGAAAAAGATGTTTTGATTTGATTCCTATACTTCGATGGCTTCTTATTGGGGCCAATAAATAAAACCTGTTCAACTTCTTTAGATAGAAATTGCTGCACCATTGTTAAGGGGAAATATAATCTCAAATGGCTTAGCAAGATCCTTCGTTATGCCGAAAATATTGCAGCATTAATTTTGAAATAAATATATGGTAAAGTTGAGGATTAATGTTAAGTATTATGTTAGACGAAAACACGATTTCGTAAAATTTTCTCGATAGAAAAAAAATCCAGTTACCTCCAAAATAAACAATAAACCGCTGTTATTCATAAAATACTTTGAAACTTTGCATACTAACTGAACTAACTATAAAGCAGTGCTTATGTTCTTTACTTTTTTTAAAATACCATTATTTTCACTGTAAAAAGAAATTACCTAAAATATCGGCCTCTTGAAGCGTGATTCCTGCCGCCCGGTCACTTCGCTTCGGCCTTTGAAGGGGGAGGTTGTGTCGCTTACGATCAGAATATACATTACGCAACAGGACGACGTAAAATTAAAATGGGAAATAACCGTAATAAAAATAAGAAGCGACTGGCTTGGCGTTAAGAAACAGGCATAAATATGATAAACCTAATGAAATAAGTGTCTAGCGACCTTTACTACTTACAGTATTATTGATTACAAACATGTCGGTACATAGCATACGACGCGCGGGCAAGTGGGGACGAAATTAGAATTTGAGCTGACTTACTATATCCCCTTAAGATACGTGTAAACCGCCAATCTCCTGCCTACTTCGAGTCGAGTCTTAACTAACGCGGAAGTTTGAATGTTGAATTGGTTAGGTCAGGAAATCGCCCTAAGACCCGATCGGTCATTTTATAACTATGTCTTTGTAACTTTGGTTAAATGGAAACTGCTGACTTTAAACAACTTTTAAAGTCAGCCGTTTTCTGTCAGTGTCAGCCTTGTAATAGAGTGAGATATGTCGACGAGATGATCGGTAAAGGAGTGTCCGAGCCACGCGACAAGTTCCTATAAAAGGCTTGTTAAGTAAGTGTTTTCCCGTTAGCCGTACCGACACACACATGCTCATGTTTGACCTTACATGTATTTTGCCTTCGTCGTGTGAACAATAGCTCTCATTAAAAGTACGTATAAAATATGCACTTTTACTTACAATATTGTGTATGCAGCAAATTTCATTTGTAAAATAAATTAATCAAATAGCAGTGCTCATCATACCTGTGTTCCATCTGTATGTTCTAAAGGGTATAGAGCGGCAGTATAACTACAAGCTGTGAGACATTTAGTTTTAGTCAGAGGTGGCAACGCACCTTTAGCCTTCTTTGTTTGAAGTTGGTTGCAGGAGTCCATAGGCTGCAGTAATAATATCTTCCGGACCGAATTTCGGCCACGGCGGCCTACCTCAACGGAGGCTAGCCATCAGCGCAGGACAGGATTACAGTGCCCAAGCGTATGCGCAAGCACAAGTGCACTCTTTATTCCCTCACTCTCATAATCCGATGGGACGGTAAACCGACACGACCGGAGAGAGATCAGGCGCAGGAGCAACGGCTTTACGTGCTTTCAGAGGCACGGGGTGAGACACCACCAACTTCCTAACTCCGCGCAGCTACTGAGAATTTCTTAACAGAAAAACTCAATAATTGATTTTTGTCCCGACCCGGGATTCGAACCCAGGACCTCATGATCAGCAGTCGCACTACTTCAACCACTAGACTAACGTGGCAGTCACCACTTACCATCAGATGGACTGTAGGTTCATTTGTCACTTTAGTTTCATAAAATAACGTCTTTCCTAGATACATGTGATATCCTGGCATTTGTAAAATAAATGACATAAATAAAATTCTGTGTATACCTAGTTTGAAGAGTACCTCCTAAGCCCAACCGAACACCATTAACGTGTACACTAGGAAATACACCCTGGCGATGTAGGTACTACGGCTGATAATAGTACACGTGTTTCAACAGTAAAGGAGGCATCAAAGGAATAAACTATGGGATAGTTAACTGATGTAATAAATCTAAATAGTATAAGTTATTTAACACTTAATATCATAATTCATTAGTTTTAGGACCCCGACCTCGATATGATTATTTACGCCTCTTAGGACAATGCGCGTAAATATATGCCCGATTTTATCGTATCGACATTAAACTCACTCAGTTTTATTGCAAAACGTGGTTCACTGATAGTCTCGGGATCAAACTGGTACAAGAAGAGTCCAGTCACAAGAAAGAAGTCCTCAGTTTTTGCGGAATTTGATATTGCTGTCAAATTTAATGCTTTACATTTTAGTTTGCATATTTCTTTGGGACTTCTTCCGTGAAACAGATACTAGTTTAAACCTCTGGCTAACTATAAATTACATTTTGTAATTAGACGGCATGTGGTCTATTGATTATTATATGACCATTGTCCAGCGCATATATAAATACTAGCAGAATTTAGAAGTAATAATAACAATTCCAGCGAAGTCCACGTGAAATTGTGGAGAACATTGTTCAACGGGGTAGATGTACACATTAGCAGATTATAACAGTGCCCTCCTGCTGAATTTTATGGTAATCAGAAGCAGAAGCATTTTATGGTAATCGCACAAGGTGGGCGTGCTTTGAGTTCATCACGTCGAGCATCCAATTGAGAGCAGCGATTTTCCTCAAACACCATGGCTTTCACCAAAGACCTCCATCCGGTCGTCGAGCGGATGCTTGCTCCCACTCTAAAGGCTCAATATCGCACTTCTTTATGTAGCGCTAAAGTACATATTTGTACCTGAGGAGTTGTCCGCCGTGCTTACACTTGCCCTTCTCAATTTCAGAGAAAAAGATGCACTTTGCCGTACGCTGGTTTGACATTTGCCATAGGCGTCCGCACCAACAGAGCTGTCGCCCCATAAGATAGGCCTCAATCCCCATGGTATAGGCTCTACGCAGCACTTCCGTATTCCGAATGCGATTAGACCAACGGATGTTGAGAATTTTGCGCAGAGATTGCATGTGGAAGCGATCCAGCGTCCGTATATGACGGCGGTAAACTGTCCATGACTGAAGAGTACAATATGTTAGGCAGCATGTCAATTTTGGTAGCCAGCTTTAAGTCATGTGAACCAAATACCTTGCGATCCAATTTACCGAATATTGCAGCAGCGGCACCGATCCGACTGTTCATTTCAGCATCACATCATCACAACACTTTGATGTTATCGTGCTCCCCAGATAACGAAATGTTTTTGATCTGCTCTTAAGTATATCTTCACCGAGTTTGATGGCCAGTGTCTCTTGACCGTAGATATCTAAAGGCATCACTTCCGTCTTTTTAACACTTATCTTCAGACCAAAACTACGGCATGACTCATGAAAGGTGGTCACAAGCTCAAGGGAATTGGTCACAAAACATAGATCATCTGCGTAGACGATGTCTGTAATAAGTGCGTAAGACACTTTCGTACGGGCGTAAGCTAAAAAGATTGCAATCATTGCGGAAACGAATGCGGATTCTTTCAAGGGTAGTTTTTAAGACTTCCTGGACTACATCTGCAAAGTATAACGCGAAAAGTGTGGGTGCAAGGACACTAACTTGTTTTACCCCACAGGTAACGGGAAATAATTCTGACTGATCAGCGTTTACTGCGACGCAGCTCAGGGTGTCGTCATGCAGGAGTCTACAAAAGTCTCACAAACTTCTCCGTGCATACAATTTTTCGCAGCACTATCCAGAGGACTTTACGCGGTACACTATCGAATGCCTTCTCAAAGTGTACAAAACAGATACATATTACGATCCTGTTATCTGCTTTTTTCCTGCAGTTGACGCAATGAGAAAATCGCCTCACAGGTACCACGGTCAGGTCGGAAGCCGAACTGAGATTCCGGCAAAATCCTTTCAGAAAGTTTCCTGAGGCGGTTTAATAGAAGTCTGGCGAGGGCTTTTCCAGGCACTGAAAGTAGAGAATTCCACGGTAAGAATTGCAGTTCGACCCGTCACCCTTGCCTTTATATAGGGCTCGTATGAGGGATACCTGAAAAGTATTAGAGACCCACGTAACGACAAAAAGTTCCCATATCGCCGAATAAAGATCCCCACCGCCATACTTCAATAATTCATCCGGTATAGAATCAACACCACCTGCTCGTTTATTTTGCTGTTGCTTAATGGCAAGAGCAACCTCGTCAGGCAAGAAAAGTGGCTCATCGAGTTGGATGGCGAAAGGTTGTTGTTGAGGTAGGCAGCGAACGTGGTCTAGATCAACAAAATGATCCACGTTAGGCAGGGTGTTCAAAATGCTCCGCTCATCGCTCGAGATTTCCTCCCTGCTTTTAAAAAGCGCTTCACCACTAGTTGAATTCAGTGGAACTTTCGCCATAGAGGACATACCAAGTAGATGTCGCACCTCAGCATAAAACTCACAGAACTGGTTGGTGTCAGCGATCCATTGCATCTGACGAGCCTTCTCCTGCCACCACTTATCTTTCGCTTGTCGTGCGAGTTTACGCAGCTACAGATCACTATGACGCAACTATGGAGTTGCGTCATAGTCACACCTCCACTCTGATGAGTTCTACTGTGCTGCTTTAGGAACCTACGGTGTTTATCAATAGCGTCCGTAAGTACCCCATCATTCTCATGAAACCAGTCCTCATGTTTTCGGATTCTCAAACCCAAAGATGATTTAGCAGTGTCGAGAATATGAGAAGATAGAAACTCCCAGACAATATTGATCTCACCTGATTTTAGGTCCAGGAGCTGCAGAGCAGTGCTCAAGGTTTCGGCATATTTAGCCCTCGTGTTTTGGAGTCGTTTAAGGTTTAGACGTATCTGTTTAGATCTTTCCGATCTACAAGGACGTGGAAGACGGACGGACTTACGGACGTGGAAACAGTACTATAATCTCTAAACGTAGTAATGTTAGCGTTTAAATTAAAAAAATTCGTTAAACAATTTAATATAAAACTATAATTACTAAGTAATTGTTTTTATTTTAATTATTCTCAAATCCTGTACAACGCACTTAAAGTTAAAATCAGTAAGTACGTAATGCAGGGAGAAATGAGAAATGTTAGTTTGACAGTCCTATTCTTCGTGCGTGCATAGAAAAAGTGACGTGTATTCAGTAGCGTTGATCAATCCCCATTCCACGAGCATGTCGCTGCATAAAGTAAACAGAAATAATTAAGGTCGTGGCGCCCATATTAATGCACAGCGTTGAATATTCATAGCCGGGCGTCTCGTCGGGTCAGCCGTAGATATGTATCTATAGCGGAGCTCTCGGGTCAGGAATTAGTCGAGACTCGAGATTGGCGATAAGTGGCGGTGCATTGAATGTGCTAATTGATATACTCCATAATGATTAACTGTGAAGTTCCACAATGCTCCTGATTTGTTAGTTACAAGCTCTATGAGGTGATTCGACTGGTTTTATTGTCCATTGAATAAAGGTCCTTTGTCGTCTAAACAACCCATAAATCACTGACTTCTCTGATTTATATTCTAATCTTTTCCTCTTGACTTTTAGAGAGTATTTTCTATTTATGTATTGTAATTTAAGTTCCGTTACGTAGGGTTTAAAGACATTTTAGATGATAAATTAAATTTTGCATTTGAAAGTAATTTATAGGGCCTTTAAATAGTAATGTCTAGGTAAAGCTCTTCAGAAATGTACCACCACACACGTGATACATTGAATGTATACTCACACACTGCACATCAGCACATCACGCACTGGAAATATAAAGTATTATTCACAATAGAAAAATTATTACTTATATACAGGGATATTTTGCAATAACCGGCCAAATATGTAGAGAAGATTCAGAATAAGTAATATAGGCAAATGGTAAAGAGAGATTAATAAAAAAATATCCTTTTTATCTTTTAAATTCAAAATGCGTGGTAAAGGATTATTTTAACTGATTTTACTGCGCGCGCGTGCGCACATTCGCAAGAGTCTATCGGTATACAAAAAAAGTTGTTGCCCATAAATCACATTCAATTTGCGATCATTTCAAATAAAAGTAGAAGCCTTATTTACTCGTATTTTCAAAATTACAATAACGGTATATCGTTATTTATATATTTGATCAAGTTTGCAAGACTACTCTTTGAAAAATAACCCTGGTATCGAGTTTTAAATTTGAGTGCGCTTTTTAGGCCTACACCATTTAAATATTAATCATTGTTTTAAAATCTTCCTAACATGATTTTTTTGCTTTATAAAAGAACATTAAAAATAAAACTACACAGTAGCAATTTACTCTAATAAGTGATTTTCTGCGCGTTTCGCTGCACGACCTTGCGATAACAATGCTCTTGTGTTACATAGTCAGTGCTTTGTTCTTTTGTTCCGGTGCAAGCCACTATCGGCATGCCCAATTACTTTTTCTCGAGAGAAACGGTGAATCATCCGCTTAAAATGTTTTATTTTTCTTTCGCGCCAGGAATCTTTCGATCATGGATGTGTCGAAATTCACTCATATATTATTCTGGAAGAAAAATTGAATTACGTAAAATCCAAAACTTAAAAAAAAGTGGAGTGAGAAACAAACTAACAGTCTTCAGATAATAAGTGGCTATTGCAACCCATGGGCACCTGCAACCAACTTAAAGTAAAGAATGCGACTGCCTGCCTCGTAGCATACTAAAAACAGAATAGTAGGCGATCTTCTAAGAAATGTACTGAACGCCGCGCCGTTAAGGGGAAATATAACCTCAAATGGCTTAGCAAGATCATCCGTTATGCCGAAAATATTGCAGCATTAATTTTGAAATAAATATATGGTAAAGTTGAGGATTAATGTTAAGGATTATGTTGGACGAAACACAATTCCGTAAAATTTTCTCGATAGAAGAATAATCCAAAGTTACCTCCAAAATAAACAATAAACCGCTGTTATTCATAAAATACTTTAAATTGGATCATGAAACTTTGCATACTAACTGAACTAACTATAAATCAGTGCTTATGTTATTAACTTTTTTTAAAATGCCATTATTTTCACTGTAAAAAGAAATTAATAGCAGCAGAAGAGCATACGACGCGCGGGGAAGTGGGGGCGAAATTAGCATTTGAGCTGACTTACTATATCCCCTTAATATGCGTGCGTGGCACGTGACAGTACGGACTCGTATTTTACTATGCTCATAGCCTATAGTTATACTGGCCCTGGCATATATTACACCCTCATACAGGCTGTCAGTTTTACGTCAATCACGGTTGTGATTGACGAATAATCTACCGTGTAATGCAGTGCTTGACACCTGCATGAGCGCGTAATGTACGCCTATCAATTACCATCAGTTTTTTATCAATCATGATTGGTGGAATTGATTGACACCTGCATGAGCGTGTAATGTACGCCTTAGACTGGAACACAGCAGTTCACGCACTGCTGCATGACGGCACAAATGGGTAAGTGGGTGGTACCTGCCAGGACGGACTCCTAGGCAAAAAAGGAGTCCCACAACCTAGTAACTCATTAAAGAATTAATATGTAATGTTATATTGAAATGCGTTCATTATTTTTTGTGTTCATGTTTTCGTCGAAGTATAAAAAGTACCCAGATGTAAAGTAAGTTTCTCGAAATTCAATGACATAACAAAATTTACTTATATAGACTAAGTATCATCAATATATAAAAGATTAATATTGTTATATTTTGTATAATTTATCGTTACAGCCTTTTGAAGTCTACTACTGAACATAGGCCTCTCGCAGCAGTTCAGCAGTGGACTTTAATAGGCTCATAGGTTGTAACGGTAACAGTTATATTATTTACATTTCTGCTTTGTATATTTACATTGCAAATAGAAAGAACTTTATAAACTATAAACTATGTAATATAGACTATACCTTTACTCATGTATCGTAAAATTTACAAAAGTTCTATGTAATTTTTATAAAAATTATAGAAAAGGTACCCTAGGGCGAAAGGCGTCAAACCAAAAACAGGAGTAGGTAGTCCTCTCCTGAGAAACCAAGTGGCGGCCGACGCGGCGCTTCCTGATACTGTACCATATAAAGTGACTGAACTCGCTCTGTCTTAGTCTGGATGGGATCTTTTAATATGGTGTTGTTTAGATTTAAGATAAGCAAAGATCATACATTTTAACTGTTTCGTTTTTTCTAAAAGGTCTTCAAGTTTTTCGGTTTAAATCAAGCCTCTCCTGGCATTTCTCACTATTTATTTGTAAAGTCATCACAATAGGTTCTGTCATTCCCGAAACGAGTAGGGCGGACACATCTGGCTTCAGACGAATTACAAATTAAATACACAAATTCGTAAAATAGTAATGGTTACCTTATGTTTTATAGCTTGCAAATAACCCTAGCGATCTCTATACTATAGACACACACTTCAATTTTATGTACATAAAAAATTGCGTGTCACATTGTTTGTCCGCGATGAACTAAACTACTGAACTGATTTCAATGAAATTTTGCACGCTGTGTGCAGGTGGAAGAGATAGGATATTTTTTATTCCAATGAGTGGCCTTTAGTATTTTTTATTTTGAATTTGATTGTGAATGTGTATTTTTTTTAGGACAAAGGGAGGTGGGAATGGCAGAACAACGTCTGCCTGGCCAGCTTGTGAGTTTAGCAATATGTTGAGGATTTGATTTATAGTTTCACCATCTGCATTCCAGTTTTTGGGACGTTTTATTGTTATTGTTAGATGACGTTACGCTCGTCGATAAAATAATTTAGGTCGCGTCTCAGTTTTGATAATGTGTGCATAATATTGTATTGCGGAGGTACAAGACGCGGTCAAGTTATTTAGCCGATAGTTCCGTTCGTGAGTTATCGCTATACTTCGTTGTTACCATACCTTCGGCAGATAACACGTGTTTGCGCGTTCCGTATACCCAACGCAACGCTGATACGTTGCTGAACGGTTATACATACTCGGAATTGTGGTGTTGCATAATTTAGAACTCGATGGTTTATATGTTTTAAAGAGATCGATTAATTTTGACTTGGTTTTTCAATTTCCTCTGAGAGGTTATTTAATAGTTTTATTTTATCATAATATTTCTTAAATAGTATACTTACTGACAATGCTATTAACATTACTAATATTTCCTTTAACCACTCCTGGTAAGCTTAAAATGCTTGTGTTAGGAGTGTTTCACGACAGTAGTCGAAACGCGGATTTGAACACACGACCTTTCGAGTTGGCGATCCACACCCTTTTTTTTTTAACATGGGGAAATGCCTACGCATACCCGCCTCGCGGGGGCAAGGACGGGTTATGTCGGACTCGCACCGACTAAAACCCCATGGTGTTCCACCTTCGTCGCATATTGGCAGGGCTACGGGAACGCTTTCGCACACATCCGCGGCCCCACCAGCGACTGCCGCCCCATGGCAGCACCTCATCGGGAGAGGAATATTCCTCCCCGTTCTCCTTCCCAAGTAAGGCGCACCAGAACACATGGCACG